CTCTAAGCTGCATACCTTCTCCTTACAGGCCTGTCAGCAGTCCTTATGCTTCTGCTCAAGGAGAGCTAGGCAGCCTGCCGGTTTGGATCTATTAACATAACTCTTAATTTTTCAAAGCAGTTGCTCTTCAGTGGTGCTAACATCCTCCATCCAGGAGCTGAGTACTCTGTTTTCACTGCAGTAATAAACCTTGTTGGTCTTTATGGCAATTGATGGCACCAAAATCTCATAGAAGATTTAAGTGGATTTATTGCTTCCTTAATATGCTAGATTGTCAGTCCTAGAGATTGGCATATTCTTTGCATCCTTTTCTATATATTGTATTCTGCTGTTTGTCCCTTTTAGATGATGAGACAAAGCAAGGATAGAATCCAGTTCACTCTATGCTGGGTTGCTTCTGCTGGGTTTTGCCACTAACATGAGCAGTAGACTTGACCAGAAGACAACAATTCTGGTTGTTGTCTGCAACAATTCTAGTTGCAAAAATTGATTTTGTTCTACATTGCACTGAGATAAAAACAAAACCATACAACACTAGTAATAAAATGTGTGTGCATGCACATACATGCACTAAAGCAGTTGGGCACTACCTATAGTTTCTGGGTACCTATGTCCAAAACTATGTTCTGCCTGATTCAGAAAAGAGTATTTCATTCTATGTGACTTCAAATTAGGTAGTACAGAGTCTTGAAGTCATATTTTCTGTGAATGCCTGAACCAGTGAGCTATAAGGAGTGAGAGGGTGTCCTCTTTCTTTCACCTCAAACTTCGCTGTTACATTAGTTAGTTGAAACTTACACATTTTAAAATGTTCTGGCTTCATTCATTTTAGCAGGATGTCATTTAATCAAAAATGTTCTCATCAGCTTTAGTTAGGACTTACGATGCCTACAAAAGCCTAAATTCTCTTCTCTCCTCCTCCGTTTTTTTCACTTGGATAACTCCAGTGATTTCAATACTCATTGTGCCAGGCATTTCTAATTTATACCCTAAATATGAAAGCAGAATCAGGCTCTGAAAAAAAAAGATTTGTTGGGTAAAGCCAGTTTTACATGTTCTTTCTTCAGAATGAAACTAGATTTTAAAGGAATCTTACATCATCATTGTATTTTGTTTTTATCCACATTAACAACAAAAAAGTAAAATCTTGCACATCTCATTCCACCTCTCAGAACATGACTCTGTCCAGATCTGGAACAGGAGACTGGGGAGTACTGATACAGGAAAGAACTTGCTTCCACTCTTCCTGCATCCAGCCAGTGCTCTCAGTAGTTCTCTAGGTGCCATTCCAAAAATGCCTCATTACACACCATATGTATATACAGCTTCTCAGTTTACTATTTGAACCCTGTCCTGAATTGCTCTGTGATCTTTATTTATATTTGAATAATTTTCATCTGTCTTTCTTTATATTAAAATCATATTTAAAAACCTCTCTCTATTGCTTGGCCTGCAGTTGGACACTTTAAATCAAGCAGTGGGAGAGGTCTTTATGAGAGCAGTCACTTGGATAAGGGTAAGTTTAGATCTGATTATACACAAGCTATGCTGAAGGAGTAGAACTGAACAGGAGGAAAAGTTTTTTTATTGTCTGTTTCCTCTATAGGTGCCAAATCATTTCATCTGGCTGATCTTTTTTTATTGGTATTTTCACTCCTGCCTCAATTGCCTTGCAGAACTGCTACGATTTGGAGACTGGCAATTTTACTTAGATTGGTGGTAAGTCTTCCTTTACTTCTTGCAAAACTAGGTTATTGTTACTTATTCAGGCTACTATGTGATGTGTCCAAGGTAATGGGAAGAGAGGAAGGAAATTAGAGAAAAAACATTCCAAAAAGAGGAGTTGATTGGCTTGGAAGGGATCTAGTAGTACAGGTAGCCTGGAACAGCCAATGGAGCCCTAGAGTTGTTAACCAGTTAGGATCATTAAGTAACATGACTCTGGCAAAGCAAAATAAAGATTAAAAAAAAAGAAAGAAAAAGACCAAAATTGTCAATTAACTCTGTTGAAAGGTAACTGTTCCCAACTCAGCATAGCAATGATTGTACGTCCACATTATACTGCAACAAAATCTGCCTTGTAATAGATGTACTTTAACTTGAACCACTGTTTTTGCATAAATGGTCTTCGGATCTGTTAAAATACATGAATAAGACCCAGAAATGAGGACTTTACCTTATTTTGGCTGATTTCCTATGAAAAGAGAAAACCAAAGCCAGCAGGTGCAACCGTGAAAATAACAAGTGTCTTGGTTTCTCTTTCTTGTTCCTCTTGCCATTTCCATACAAGGAGATGGATCTGTGAAAACAAAGTAGAGGAAAGTTATTAAGCAAAGTCTCTGCTTTTAACTTTTACCTGATTCTCATTAATCTGACTTTCTTTTCCAAAGTAATGGGGCAAGAAAGCCATTAGTGTGTCAGTATCACTAGTAGCTGCTGGGAGCCAGTAACCAAGCAAGAGAGAGTGAAAATTGATTTCAGCTACTGGTGACCTCACCAGAAGTGGTTTACATAAGAAGTCCCCAAATCAGCAAAACTTCCAATTGAAAGGGGGTATTTTTCATTAAAAATGGAGGGGGAGGAGACATTTAACTAGTAATTTTTTTGAGGAACTCAGTTTAGAGGGTTTTTAAAATTTCTTGTTTATTAATTTTTGTTTTATTTAATATACAGGCAGTTATACTTACTTTAAGTATAAGTAAGTAGCTGACATCACTGTATACCAGAGAGAAGTAGTTAACTGTGTTCGTTTGAAGTCAGGGCAAAATGACAGCTTATTGACTAACTAATTCAGGGAAGCCTAAACTTTCGTAAGCAACAGCTTGCTTCATCAGATGCTATGAACGGACCAGCAGGCTGCGTCCAGACTAGTGCAGCTGTGACACATCTGCGGCGTCACATACCGCACATTCAGCTGTTCTCCATGCTGCAAGCAAGCAGCCCAGGGGGTTTTGACCCCTGGCTTTCTACCCAGTACACACATGCCACTTTGCATGTATTATTATTTATATAGCAGGTGTCATACAATATAGAATAATCGTTCTGTTGATACCCACATACTATACAGCAGTATTAAATGTTGATAGCATATAAAGGAGGTACTCATAGCCTGTAGAGAACAGATGCATCTAATTAAGCACCAAGCCAGGACCTGTAGTGGGTTGAAAGGATGTTCTTGCATGCTGCAGATGTACTAGAAGTTCTCAAAAGTGATTTGAACCTCTCAAGGGATGGCATAGTACACCTGGAATGGGTGATTGCTTACATGAGATGCAAATAACAGAAAATGAAAATAATACCGATACTTCAGGGTTTCTACAGAATTAACAAGATGGATTCTTTTACCAATAGTATTCAGCTCCATGTGTATACTGTGTTCCAAAGGTAGTTGCAATATATGGAATAACTAAGGCAGTGGTTTCAGTAGGAGGATTTTAAGAAAGCACAAAGGACTGGTACAGATCTCTGTAGGCCATTTCTTGAATCAGACACCTAGGACTGTGCTACCTAAACGAGAGTCCTAATGGCAGCGGGAGCCAAAAGATGAACAGCTGTATAAAGCCTGTTGTGTGACAGCCCTCTGTAGTGCGTCTATCAGGATGCTCTGTCTGTCTCAATGTTTGGCTCTGTCATCCCTGCTGCACCCTACTCCAAGGCCCAGAGAAGCAACTGAGCCTTCTATCTTGGCAATGTCCACTGGAGTCAAGAAGGGTGATCAACCATTAGTGTTTCTACTTTCCAGGGACAGAGTTGCTGATAAAGCCATGGCTGCAATTGACCTATTTTTAAAAATAATGAAAACCTAGGAGGTTAAAAGCTGCATTAACCCCACAGCAAGTTACTTCCCCTAAGGATAACAAATACAAATAACAAATAATAAGTTACAGCAGGGACAACTGCAGGGATTCAAGGCTCATAAATCACTACAGGGTTGATTTTAAAATCAAGATATCTTTTTAAAATCAGTAGTATTTCAGTTGCCTTATGATGCTTGGGTCTTTAAGGTTCACATTTTCCAATTTAATCTGTATTGGGCAAAGAAGTAATTGTTTCTTAATACAAACCAAAGCTGGGATTCTGATGTATCCACATGATTCCAGGAGCTGGTGCTTTAAAAGAAAACACTTGTTTTCCAAGACTCAAAGACTCACATTATTGTAAACCACTGTGTGGAGAAAACTTACCTGAGTTGACGGAGAGGCGGTGGGATGCCGTGCCAGCAGCGGAGCACAGCGAAAGCAAAACCGTGGTGGCCAGAGCCACCGCAGATAAAGATCAAAGTAAAAACCTACGGTGGAGCCGAGAGGAGCTGGAACCGGCTCCCACATCTGCCTGGGCGCGCTTTATAAAAGCGTGCCAGGGACAATTGGTTGGGCAGACACCCGGCACCAAGATAAAAGACCCGGTGGGAAAGAAGCCGGAAGGAGGAGGACGAAAGCAAAAGTGGAAGTGGAGGCGGAGGTGGAGGCAGCGGCAGCATCCTCAGCTGGCTTAGAGGAGCCTGGATGCTTAGAGGCTTCAAACGCAAAAACGTGGTGGTTCCCATGGAAGGGGAGCACAATGGACACGTCAGGGTGACAAGTATCCCAGGGGTTGCTGGCAGGACCAGTGTGGACGGAGGACAGCAGCAGCGACTGGGACATCAGCAGAAGCGACAGGGACAGCACTCTGATGGGAACGGCGGGCAACAAGTACCGGACCCGGCGCGGCAAGGGGGACCGAAGCCCGGGCAGAATCAGACTCTGCATAGGCAAGGATGAAAAGGGGGGCGCGGGACATGCTCAGAATAAATATCACCAGTGACCAACTACCTCAGCCCCTAAGGGACCGAGCGGTCAGGGAGGGTCAGAGCCATTGACCCTGGCGGACAACAGTCTGGTTGGCGTTAGGCGGGGTGTAGGGGAGGTGGAGCCCCGAGAAGACATATCACGAGAAGGACCGAGGGGAGGTACCTCGGGAGGTGGGACCAGACATTGTCCTCCCAATCAAAACCTATTTACCATCAAAGATGTGGCAGGTTGAGGGAACTGACCCAAGGTCACTCCCAGTAGCCTGGCCATGCAACTCAATAAGCCACGGTGAAGTTCAAGTAGAGCTTAGACGCGCAGCACTTGGGAACTAGGCACAGAAGGTTACACACTGGCATAAATCCTTTGTAATCAGAGTATACCTTAAATGCACATTACTATAAAGATGCATCATTTAAGAGAAGTGCAAGATTATAGTCCATAGACTGTGGGCAGGAGAGGTTCAGTTTGTATGCCTCATCTTCTGTTACTAATATAAGCGCTGTCAAGAAAATGAGTTTTATAAATTCTAGAAAAATCAGTTAGAGATGGGAAATGCATTGTGCTAGTACCACTTCATCCAGTCAGATATTCATCATTTTGAGTGACTGACCATTCCATCTTGTTGAGGTTGCCAAACCTGTAAAAGAAAAACCAGGAATGGCTGTAGTTAAATTACAGACTGGAGTTTTGCAGTGGTATTATGTTTTTCAGGATCCCCACAAAATGTACAAAGGGTTGATGCTGATCAAGCCTAAACAATGGAAGATAGGAGATTTGCATGAAGAAGCATCTTTTTTCTCAAATAATTAATTGGTTTGACAGTATCAGCCCTCCTTTGAAAATATCCATATGCAGCATGATAATCTCTGTAACAGTCTTGAATGTTTAGTTTTGCTGGAATCTAAAACTCAGGATTTACTCATCACTGCCTATTTCCTGTACCAGCACTTTAGGCTGGCCTTTCTAGTCAGGTCTGATGACTGCTTCATTGTTGATGATGGACCAAAATAATTAGCTTATGAGCCAGAGATTGGATAGCATATAACAATACCTCACATCTGTCATCATAAGTCTGAGATAATTGGCTCCTGAGTTCTAGATCTGGAAAAATGGTGGGGTTATCACTACTGGGACAAATGCATGCAAATCAACTGCATATATATGCCGGTAAATGGAGTTAACTCTTTAGTACTCGAATGTAATTTGTTGTTTTGTTTGTTTTTTTTTAAACCCCTCAACTAAACCCTCCTGCTGCAGAGAACAAGTATAACATTAATTTCAGACTCCAAGGGTCGTTTTATAAAGAACACCAAAGCCCTTGTCATACATTTATTTCAGGAGTGCTATCAAAATGCAGTTGTAATCAGAAGATTAAGGGAACTGCACTTGGATTTTTGATGAACCTCTGCTTCATCTGCACTGATAAATGCCTGTCTAATAGAATGGCTACATGCTTTTCCTGTTCTGCTATGAGAGAAGCCCCGTTTTATTTGTTCTGTCCTTGTAGGAATGTGGATTCACTCTTACAGTTCTGGTCCAGATGGAATATCCCAGCCCACAAATGGCTAGACAGGTATAGTACAGAGCCCTGTATTCTTCCATTAAGATTCAGTTACATTTAGGAGATGAAATACTGCTCCGGAGAATCAGCAATAATAATACATTGATTTTCTTTTCAAAGAATTAAGTTGCCATGAATGTGTCTATTTGCCTGCTATATTGCATGAGAAATTCTGCTGGCCTGAAATTTAATTCTGAGGCATTGTAATTAAGCCTTGACATTTAGATGTAATTAATGGGAAAGCTTTAAATTTTAGTGTCGTCTCAAAGGAATAGCAGGGTGTCAAAGGGGATGTAATATTTTTGTTAAATGCTTCACAGTTTCTGTAAGAAACTAGTTTGTACTATTGGGAATGTGATCATTTTGAATAATGTTGTAGCCGCATCCTATCCTGTTCCAGAGGGCTCAGATCAGTGCAGTTCCAGTGCAGAAAAATGAGAGGGCAGCCCCAACAAGGAATGTAGACATCTTTTGTGTCTGCTGTTTCACCTCACTGTATAGGTAGCTGGGAGGAAGGTCCAATGTGGCAGTTTTGCCATTATATGGATTTCTCAGTTATTTTTCCCATGGCTACTTGAACATGGAGCTGCTTGAGCTGGAGGACGAGTAGAGGATGATTCCTTCTCCCCAACCCTGCTGATATTCTCTCACATGCAGCCCACCTATGCCAGCTATACCCAGCCCCTGCTTCTATAACTAGGCACTCTGCATCAGTTCCACTGAAACTGGTAAAGAGTAGGGCTGTGCAAAACACCATCGTTTCGTTTCGACATCCGTTTCGCCATTTCGAAGGGACAGTGTTTCGTTTCGTCTAATTTTGAAGCACTGTTCCGTTTCGTTTCGTTGAAACTGTTTCACTGTCTCAACACGTTTCGCCCATAGGCTATCATGGGGAATCATGAAAATGCCTAAAACGTTGCCATTTCATGCCTGATGTGGATGAAAATTGCAGGGATAGTAGCCCCTTTGGATGGCATGAAGTCTGCCACGTTTCAAGGAAATAGGTGTAGAGGATTCTGGGAAACTGCACCTCAAAGTCTTCAAAACACAACTCCTGATATTTGCTGGCAGTGGCAGCCTCCTCTCATCCAGCGCACAGATCTGGGGAATTGCACCCCCGGGAGGAGTCTGGCACAGCCTGGCAGCCCTCCCAGGGGTGTGAGCCCCCAGATCTGCACCCCGGATGAGAGGAGGCTGCCTCTGCCACCTGGGACCGGCACTGGGTGTGGGCTGCTACTAGCACCAGAGAAAATTGCTGCTGCCACCTGTCCCAGGCAGCAGTGGTAGCCTCCTCTCATCCAGCGCACAGATCTGGGGAATTGCACCCCCGGGAGGAGTCTGGCACAGCCTGGCAGCCCTCCCAGGGGTGCGAGCCCCTGAATCTGTGCCCCGGATGAGAGGAGGATGCCCTGTTGCCTGGGACCGGTGCTGGGTGCAGCCAGCACCCAGCACTGGTCCCAGGCAACAGAGCAGCCTCCTCTCATCTGGGGCGCAGATCCAGGGAGTTGCACCCCTGGGAGGAGTCCAACGCACAGGACCCAGGGGGACTCCTGGAGGAAGCAATTGATTGCAACAGCAGCATACATACTTATTTGTTCAGTGTAGTTCATCCTAACTCCATCCCTCCATGCATAGGACTAAAGATCCAGGAAATAATAGAGCATGCTTCTGCACATCAGAATAGCTATTCTGGGGGGACAAACCCTGCACTTAGTTGTCAACTAAGTGTTGTGAACTAAGTGTGTTGTGTTGTGTTGTTCACAACTAAGTGTTGTGAGCTAATCAACTTGTGTAAATTTGGAGTCACTCTACTGACTTCAGTGGAGCTTCATTGGTATCAAATCTGAGACTAATACTGATGCTAATGACAATTGAATAACAGGCTCTTTTTACACCATTTTTCTCTGTGTAAACAGACACATCTACAGGCCTTTGCTGCAACATGGCTATGACAAGTGGCAAGCCCGAATGACTGTGTTCCTACTCTCTGCATGTTTCTATGAGGTAGGTCACAGCAGCAGTCTTATCTTTTAGCATAGCATTCGCTTACACTGAGAAATCCAAGACGGTCTCTCCTTGATAATATTGAGTTCTTGCTACAATTATAGTCTGTGCAGTTTGTCTTGGCTATGCTGGTTAAGAAGCATTTAATTTTAGAGTATTCAGCTAAAAGTATGAACAATGTAAATTGTGTTATTAGTTAGACTGAAAATGAACTTGAATGTCTGAGCAGGTTATGCTGTAGTGGTTTGGAATTCATCAGCTCTGCAAAAGGAGTTTCATCCCACACAGGACCTGTCTATACTGTAGAGTTAGTTCCAATTATCTCCTCTAAAGTTGGTCCCAGTTTGAGCGAGAGCAGTCACATCACAAAACTGTATTCAAGCTGCATGGAATGATCAGATTAGAATCAGGATTTCTATTAACAGCACAGAATAGCTGTGTTCCTACTGCAGTTTTAGCTATAAAATGGAGCTTCACCCACAGCCCTGGCAGGCCAGCTTGCTTAAGTGGCACTTAGCTCAGGGGTAGAGATTTTTTAGTGTGGATGGAGTCTGGTTAGGGTCAGGGCAATACTTGAGTTACAGCTGAAACTAACTGCAGTGAAGAGAAGGCTTTGGTCACAAAGAAAGGACTGAAAAGGTGGCTTGAAAAGTGGTGGGGTTAATTCAAAAGTGAGCATGTCTAGAGGAAATAGCACTGATACAATTTGACAGGTGCTTCTCTGCCTACTACCCATCCTGGAATATTTTTTTCTGGAAAAATTAACTTCTTGAGTATGGGCCTCCATTCCACACTGAAAAATAGCTAGCTAGGAACTCACAGGACCGCATAGTGCCAGGGGAGGAAAGTTTTCTACATCCCATTACATCCAGCCTCTGATGAAACCTAGTGGGTCTGCCCCACATCGCTAAGCAGAACATTAGCACCAGGCTGTGGGGAGTTTGCATTACTTTAATATAGCAGGTAAGGTAGGTTTGCACCTTATAGACTAACTAAAGTGCATGTGTGTGCACTTGTGTGTAGCATAAGCTTTTGTGGGCTGAAGCTCATTTCATTAGATGCTGTGAGTGAAACAATGTGCACAAAGCAGTGCATAAAGAGAGAGAAACTTCAAAAAAGGCAGAAGGGAAGAAAGAAAGAGAGGAGGGGTGAGGGGGGCAGTGTTGGGAGAAGCAAATAAACAGGCAGTAAATCAATAGGAACAAAGGAGTCACAACAACTAATCCAGGTAATGGGATAGGAACCCATAGTCCATGTTTAAACAATACATAACACAATCCAGTCTGGATGATTTCTTGTTCCACAGTTTCCTGTTCAAATTGGTTTCTAAAGATTGGCTGCCTGAGAACAACCATCCTCAGGTCAGCAATGGAGTGTCCAGGGAGGTTGTCATGGAGATGATGACAATGTATGGTGGCTCTTAGTTATTCCATTAACTCAAGTGTCAAACCTTTGTGGATCTGAAGGTTCCTACCCTGCTGCTTACTTGTGTAAGTCAGTAGGATGCCAAACAATGGACGTCATTTCCCAGTTTTCTTTTTTAAAAGTCTAGGCTAGAGAGGGAGATTCTTGCTGTCCCATAATGGTTGGCTCCAGCAGAAATGAACTTCAGCCCACAAAAGCTTGTGCTACACACACACACACACACACACACACACACCCCCCCCCCCCCCCTACTTTGGTTAGTCTGCCAGGCGCAGATCTACTCTGCCTTCTATTTGAGTTCAAACTGCCATGGCTAACTACATCTCATTACTTTGATAAATCATAACAGAGCCGTAGCTGGCATTTGTGAGTAATGCTGCCTCTTCCCATGGGCCTAAATCTGAAATCCCTACTTAGGTAGATATTCCTGTACACACGTGCTGCTTTGAGGATAGTAGAACAGCCATATTTCTGCAGAAGTGGGTCGCTATGTAACATTACCCAACCATCACATAGAAGTTTCTCTAGCTTTCAGATTAGGGATGCATTAGGGGCAAGTAAAAGAGGAGGCAGAGGAAGATTATTCCGTATGCATCTCCTAAGGACAGCACATCTTACTGTTGTAACCCGGGCGGTACTCCAAGAGGTACCCCCTATCCAATTGAAGGGATCAGAGCAGGTGCACAAGCGCTGTGGGAGGTGTAGGGACTCTCCTCCCCCTATAGAGCAGAGCCAGACCACCAGTGGGCCTTAACCATATACCTTTTAATGAAAGAACAGTACTGGGAACATAACAGGCGTAAACCAGGGGGTATAGAGGACACTACAATGCCCCAAGGGGGCAGGATTCAACAAAGGTTAGACACTTACAATCATTGACAACAGACAGGGTTAACAAAATGTAAAACACAAACAGCAGAACAAACAATACTGGTTGATGAAATATAAAAAAGGTACAAAATGCCAAATGACAAGGAAATATAGGGCCTAGGTACCTGGAGGGGGAGGAAGGGGAAAAAACACAACGGCCCCTTTCCATTGCAAGAAGATTTTCTCCTTGTTAGCTCACTCACCCCAGCTAGGACTTGAACTCTGATCTCCTACATGGTAGGCAAAGACACTGCCACCAGTGCTGGCAAGCTGCTCTGGGTCTTGACCTTCCCAGAGCCCTAGCCTCTTATTGGAGGAGCTGGAAGCTTCTCAGGTTGCTGTTCAGATCCTTGCTGGAGCAGGGGAGCCTCTCCTGCTGGCCACAGCCTCTTGTAGTCAATCCTGGATCCTAGCAGGGAGCCTCTCCTGCCTGCCACACACTGCACTGCTGAGGGTCCAACTGCTGCCTGCAGGTCCCACTCCTTCAGGCTCTTCTGGGTCAACTACTCCAGCCCTGCTGGCCCAGCTCTTTAAAGCTCCTTCCTTGTGGTCCCTCACTGGTCTCCCCCTTGAGTCAGCCACGCTGCCCCTTTTATCCCCCTCCAGGCGATCCAAGGGGTCAATCAGTGGACACGGAGGGTGAGTCTCTGGGGCCTGATTGGTGAGAAAAGGGAATCCCAAGTCCTCCAATCATCTTTTGCCCTTTCAAAACCCCTGGGCTAAGTCACTGCCAGCTAGCTCATCACATTGTGTAGTACACGTCAGCAGTTACTGCTGCTCTGGATGCCAGAAACACCCTTCTGTGGCTTTCAGAGTGCCATAGGAATTGACTGTGAGAGCCCCTTGTCTCCAGCCAGCATCAGCACAGAAAGCCATGCTGATGCTGGGTGCAGGTATGGGATCAGATGCCCCTGTATATACTCTTGGTTCCTGGCATTTTAATGTCAAAGTGATAGGTGCTTTAGTAAACGCAGGCAGACACAGCAAGGAAGTCAAAGCCTATGGCTGAAATCCTAGCTAGCCATTGCCCTATTCTGCTGTCAGTTCCTACTGTCTTTGTAACTGGCTAGTGGTTTTTCACAAGTTTTGCATCTCAATAGGCTCTCTTTCCCCTTCTGCACTCCTTCCTCAAGCTAATCTCCTACTAAAATCCCATCAGGATCAGGCCTTCTCAACTTAATTTTTGGTTATAGTAAAGAACAAAGCCTGGAATAGCCTCCCACTAGCCAATGCATGTCAGCCTCTTGCTCTTGTCTCTTTCAGTATCTGATTGCCATCCCACTGAAGATGTTCCAGTTTTGGATGTTTTTTTGTTATGGTAGTTCAGGTAGGGCAAGATATTAATGTCAGGGTTTGAATTGAACTCTGACTCTTTGTGGGGGGTGGGCAGTTCTGTGGTGGTGGAAGCTGGAAGGAGCTGCCACCGCCGAGGCCGCTAGCACCACCTGAGTTGCTTAGAAAGGTATGGGGTGGGTCAGGGGCTCTCATCTCTTATGTGGGGGGGGGGCTCAGCCCCTCCAAGCCCCCTCCAAGACTAATGCTAAGATGCAAGCTATGCCAGTGAGTGTAAATCTATCAAGAAATTCATTACAAAGCTCTTTGTATAGTTCCTATTAATTAGTAATTATTTTTATAATTAAATCATTAAGTTTGTAGTTTAAACTACTAGTAACAATTTGCCAAGTGCAGATTCTTTGGCAAGTGTTGGGTATCCTGTTCCTTCCAGCCATCTGCTGACACCACCAGTCTCAAAATGGAGCTACACACTAAATACTTTTTATGATGTTGCTTATCAGCGTGCAGTGAAAATGCTAAACAAAAATCTTGCACCATGACTTTTATGGCCCCCAAAAGTATGCTGTTTATAAGCTCCACGTAGAAAATTGTTTTGTTAATCTTATTTTATTGTCCTTACTTCAAAGATCTTACACGTATTCTTTAGGGGTTTTTTGGTGTACTGTCGAGAGCTACTGGAAATCATCTGAGAGGATTAAATGACTGAATAATTTCATATGTTCTCTGAACATATTATAAACTATTTTCATCAAATAAAAGTAAAACTTAAGGGGGTTTTCTAACTTGTTCATTAGAAATAGAACAGGCCACCTCATCTGTACTATGACTGGAAACAGTTTTGCAGCCTAATAAGATTTGGGGGTGTGGAAATTTTCACAGTATAATGATCAGTCTTTTGCTAATATGGTTTCTGGGATACAGTTAATTTATTGCCTTCTGAAATCATTCCCATTTAACCTCTCTCAACCTTTAAAAATCATCTCCAAACACTTCTGTTCCAGCAGGGACTTCTAGTTTGACAACTGTTGACTTTAAATGTATGAACCTTTCCTTCTCCTTATGGCCATTTGGTTGTTAAGCCTTAGCAGGTGGTCCCTTTAATGGTTTTTTAATTGTTTTATTATGATATGCATGAGCCCAGAGTGCATTGGCAAGAGAACCCTGTCAGAAGAAAACAAGTCTTCAGCATTATTGCATAAAAGCAAATGTGATTGGAACCTGGTCTCTAGTTCAGAACTGCTGTGAATCCTATTGTTACTGACTAGTGTTTGCTTTTCCCTACGGGTCCCACTGGCTTGCATAATGAAAAGGCTTTTTGGGGGTAGTTTTGGCAACATCCTCATGTGGATCAGTCTTGTCCTCGGTCCTTCCCTCATGATTCTCTTGTACTTTCATGACTTACATTCTGCACCATCGGAAGGATTCAAGCTGGGGGATGTTTTTTTTCTGACCTTACCATGTCTTCATTGCCTTGCATTCTTTGCCTTGCTTTGTCAACAGCAGAAATACCAATATTTGGCTCATGGTATAATCACAGATTGAAGCCACCCTCATCTTCAATATGGAAGGAATGACTTCAGCTTGCTAAACTCCAGCTGGCCACTAGGCTGAAGCTAGAGCCTTGTGTGAAAGTTCCCCTCCACATTGCAGGTGAGTGATCACAGACCAAAGCTGTGGGACCCACATGTATTTAGGCCTTTTGGCCAGTCTCTGTCTCTGTGCAAGGTCTCTGGGTAACTAAGTAACAGCTCTTTTCATTGGAAAATTCTGCTGACTATAAATATAATAACTATAATAGATTCTCTTTCTTCCTTTTAAAATACTGCTGTTTATTAAAACATCTTGCCTGGAAAATGAATTTTTTAAAAATTAGTTAAAATAAATACTCTTGCCTCACTTTTTTCACCCAATGATTTCAATGAGAGAATCAGGTTAATGAGGAAATAATGTCAATAGGACAGACGGTTGTCACAGGAGAATGGTCTCCTCTAGCTTAATAAATGCTAAGGTAAAGGGAAGACATTTCTATTCACAGCAGGAGACAGAGCTCTATTAAAAATCACTGATTCTTTTATCTCAACTGACTTCTGTATGGTAGGTATAATTAAACTGGGCCCAGTACTGGCAACTTTACTGAAGTTGAGCATTTTTGCTATTCCCCAAGCAGTCCCATTAAACTCAGTTGGACTGTTGGCAAAACATGTTCTAGTCATTGCAGTTACAGGTGGCAGAATTGGGCCCTCTGTGTGAAGTAATGGAGTGGTAATTAGCAACAGAAGGACAGACAATCTGTAGAAGGGTGTAGGTTTCACTCGTTCCATGCAGGAAAGCAGTCATCTGCCTCCAGTATTTAACAAAGTAGGCCAGCACCTATGAAAGCTTATGCCTCTCTAAAAGAGTTAGTCTCTAAGGTGCCATCCGGCCTGTCTTCTGCCTGATTTCAGACTAACACAGCTCTCTCAGCCCTGTGTGGGGAAACTCTGGGCTGGGAGGGTTCATGTTGCTCCCCCATCTCCAGGAATAACCCCGCAGAGTCTGCAATACAGTACTGTTAGGTGAGCGTCCTGATGCTCTTTGAATCACTGCAGTAGTGAAGTGGCTCATGAACACTGTGTGCCCCCAGAGGTTGGGGGGCCATGGTGAGCTCTCGCAAGTGGCAGAGACACTGTTGGGGGCAGGAGCATGGTGGAGGCAAGTGGGGAGCTGCTGCAGGTAGCCGCACCGCTGGCGGGGGTGGCGAGCGCCGACCAGTGGTCAGCGACCACTCACAGACACTGCCAGCAGCAGCCAGTGCCAATCGCGGCCCGCCAATGGACATCGCCAGCGGTGTTGGCGGCGGGGGGTGGTGATTAGCAGCAACCGCCCGTGATTCCTTTTTGCAGGGGGTGCACTGCCACACTCAGGGGGTGCACTTTGTCAGTGAAGTGGCTGGAGGCAGAAAGCCGCTCTGTGGTAGCAAAGTGGCCTTAAGGAGAAGAGAACTGGCTTCCAGCACTCTGGTGAGAGTTTGTGTGAGGCTTCGGAGATTGTGTTACACATGTTCAGGTAATCATTGATCATTGTTTATGATCACCTGGGATTCTTAACTGTCATTGAGCATCAGACCTGCATCCCAGCCCTGCTAAATGTGTAATGAGCAGGGATCCAGGTTTTCCATTTCCCGTGGAAAAATGAAGAAAACCATGGATTCCCTGTTTTTAATCGGAGAAAACGTGTATTTCCCTCTTTAGCAGAGAAATCCACAGACTCTCCGCTTTTGCAAAGAGCTCTGGCAGGCTGGCACAGCTGGAGCCAATTGCAAAAAGGGCGGGAAATGCCCAACCCTGCCTGGAGAGGGGGGAGGGCAGGGCCTGAGCCTCTGAGGCAGCCAAGGCCAGGCTCAGGCTCACACTTGCCCTTTGCCCCTGGAGCATGGAGGTAAGTGGGGCTGTGGGGCAGGGCTGGGAAAGATGGCTGAGGGAGTGGGGGGTGCTGCTGGGAGCAGGGTTGGGGGGGGTGAAGGCAGGTGTGCAAAATCAGAGGATTTGCAATTTTTAATCAGAGAAAACCAGGACCCTTGGTAATGAGGTATCCTCAGGAACTCCTCAGCACAGCTGTAATACAAACAGGAACATTGTGACTAGGAGGAGGAAGTTACTCTTTTTTTCTGCATGTCCTTTCACAGCATCTGATGAGCTGAGCTTCAGCTCACAGAAGCTTGTGCTATATTATATTATACACACGGACACACATTTTGATTAGTTGATAAGGTGCAAATTTGCCCTGCTGTCTGAGAGGGGCCAGCCAGGCCCTGAATGCAAGCTGGATGACAAGCTCTGGACAAGGCCCTTAGAGGCCAAGTTAAGGGAGGAGAATTTATTGAAAACCCCAATTAATGACAGCTTAATTTTAACAAATGTAGCAGGAAATATTGACATTGTTTCCAGGGCCACTAACCAGGACACAGTGAGCATAAGCAGTAACATTGCTGTTGGACTATGTGCTGTCTCCTAGCTTTGAATAAGTTATTCAAATAAGAAATATCTCTTCCCTTGCTTACAATGTGCATAGCCCGGTTTGTATGCTGAACCAGGCCAGGATTTGGCAGTGTCTGTGGTATGTAAGCATTTAAGTAAAGCCTGTTTCCTAATGCAAGTACAAAACGGCACAGCACTATTGCTGTGTATACAACCCTAACCCTGGCAGCTCCCACATTTTCCTTTGCAATATTATTGTTCATTTTACAGAAGCTTCTATAAGGAAACTAGACATAATTCGAACACTGGTCACATTTAGAATGCACGTCACAGCCTGACTTTGAGGACTTGCCAGTGCCCAGCATCCCTATTAGCTACAGTGGAAGGGATTATTCACCATCTTTGATCCTGAATTAAATTAGTGTTTCCTTCAAACAATGATTGTCGTCTTGCCTCCTGCTGGCAGCAATGGGTAAGGCATTTCCTTAGAAAAGGGCTTGGATGGGGAGTGGTCTAAAAAACAAAGAGGATCCATTTCTCACCTTGGTCCCTCACTTCTCCTAGAAAGAGGGCTGAGTTTGCTGCTGCTCTGTAACCAACTTCATATAGGTATCCAACATGTGCAGATGCTGTTTGTACCATAACAGGTGACAACTGAATGTTCCTACAGCTTATGTAAAAAGTGATCTTGCTACAAATATTGCCATAAGCTTTAAAAATACTGCAGCCACTTGAAATGTGGTGTATATATATATGATCCCCCTCTCAGCTTTGATCTCTGTCCTCCTTCCTTCCTATCCTCCTTTCTTATGTGAAGGACCCTTACAGCACCAGTGGAGACTAGAAGCAGTAGGTAAAAGAGCAGATTTATATGCCATCCAGGCAGGTTTTCAGAGAGTTACCTAGATCAGGTACATACCAACCATCCTGCACGATATCTATATGTGCCTGGAGTCTTTAGCTACTCTGAGCGCATTACAGGGTCATCCCATGTCATCTCCTTTGCATCTTTGACAAGTCCCCCATGTGTATTTTTTACTTGTCGATCAATAGGAATGTACTGGACAATTCTTGCAGCCGTACTGTCCTTGTACTCCATCCATCCAGCCCTAAGGGGCTTCCGTTCTTGACATTTCTCACACTGTATAGTCAAATGTATTCAGAACAAAAACCAGTTTATCATGGGACTAGATGCCTCAGGGGATTGCTGATGAAAGACTATGTCCCAGGGGAGCTGGGGTTACAGGAGGACCCCAGGCCAAAGCAAAAAGAAAGCCTCACTTACCTTCGGCAGAGCCTGAAGAACAAGAAGGAACACGCGCGGCAAAACCACCGCCACGACTGATCAGCCGCACTTATATCTAGCTGGGGCCGGGCAGCGTGGGCTGGAGACGCCACCTGGCGGAGATAAAAAGCTGCCCCGAGGGTGCAGTGGGGCGGCAGATGAGCGGAGGCTCATGGAGGAAGCCCTCACCCAGAGGGGCTCAGCTGCTGCATCGGGCAGCATGAGAAGTCGGGGGTGGAGCCAGGAGAGGCTCCAACAGTAGAGTCGGCAGCGACGCCGACAGCAGAGCCGGCAGTAATGCTGGCAGAGGAGCCGGCAGCGAAGTCGGCAACAAAGCCAACAGCAGGGTTGGCAGGGACGCCGTCAGTAGAGGTGGCAGCAAAGCCGGGAGCAACGCCGGCGGAGGAGCCGGCGGCGACGCCTGCAGTAGGGCTCATAGCAAAGCCGGGAGAGATGCCAGCAGAGGCTCCTGCAGCAGAACCAGCAGCGGCCCCAGCAGCGGAGCCGATTACAGACTCAGCGAAAGCAGCGTCGGGCAAGCCGATGCAGGGATCAACGAGCAAGCCAGCAGTGAAGCCTCGGAGAGGAGGTAACAGGGGTGTGGCCAACAGGGACCCCAACAGGTACCTCCGGAGGGCAGCAGAAGACCCCAAGGAGGGACAGAACAAGTGGCAGACGGGTCCCACTTCGGCCCTAGGATAACGGACTGGGACTCAATACCCGAGTGGGGTGAGCCACAAGGGCTGGGTACTTGGGCACAGGGGGATCCACGGGGCCCATAGGCCAAGGGCACCCTTTGTGGCCTCCTAGCCCAGTGGCCTTAGTGCTTCAGCCATCGCGGTGGTGGGAATTGCAAGTCAAGTCACAGGGTGGCTGGGATAGGGCGCTAGGAATTCGGATTAGTGGGACCCAGGTCCGAAGACTTTGAAGTCCATACATCAACGCACGGCCTGAAGACACTGGCGCGTAGCTGGTGGGCCGCGGGAAGAGGTCGGGTGGAGCCAAGAACGCCTAAGGGGCCCGAAGACTGACAACCCAAGGTGGCGAGTGGCCGGGGTGTAAGGGAGGTCGGAGCCCTGTGAGTGCCCGCCGGGAGGCGCGACGACCCTGGAGGCTGCCTCGAAGGGGAACCCCTCCACTGAGGTACCATTCAAAGTCGTGGCAGGCGAGTCAAGGGGGTCCCCTGACATCAGCCGGGGTAGTCTTTGGGGTACACCCGCAAGCCCAGGACAGGCGCGATCTATAGTCCGGGCTAAGGCCGCACGAGAGCGCCTAGTAGAACAGAGGCGGGCACAGAGTACATCTTTCACCTCCAGAACTCAGGTTTGAAAGCAGCCCACATCAATTGTAGCTGGAGATGGTTACTTTCTAATGGCTTCAAGACTACATTCTCAATTTGGTTCC